ACATTATTTCCCTGAAATTTAATGGGCTAAAAAATCTGAATAGAAAGTTTAAAATCTAGCTGAAAATTTGCAGATTGTTTATAATTTTTGCACATTTTTTGTGGATTTATATTTTGTTTCATAATGAGCTTGGCTTTTATGGAAAAATAATNTGATGACTTAATCAGCTGATCACAAGTGTATGTATAAAATGATTTTTATATTAAAGATCTCAAACCAGTTTACAATGAATTTTAAATGTGCTCTGTCGAAATGATATTTTGATATACCGTACGTACATATGGAGCCCTAACCGCCAAAATAGCTTAAGCGAAATTTTTTTCAAAATTTTCTTTTTGATGCAGAAATGTATCTAGAAGCTCTAGGAATATTTTTGCATCAAAAAGAAAATTTTGAAAAAAATGTCGCTTACGTTATTTTGGCGGTTAGGGCTCGATATGTACCTTTGTATACAATAAAAGTATAAATAAGAACACTTTTTTGTACATTCATTTGAAAAAGACGTTTTTGGTTAGGAAATGACATTTTTTCAGACCAATGGGGACGCTTCCTCATGCTCAAGACCTGGCAACACTGGACCCAAGTCCTGTCTTCCAAGTAGTAAGCGGTTGTATATTTAGTAAGCTTATCTATGCTCGTCAGATACATAATGCCACGCTGTGGGTACCATATATCTAAATGAACGATATCATTGTGCTGGGGTAGGCGTAATGTTTAAACTGTGCTTTGTTGGAGATCTATCGAATTTTGCAAGTTTACACATTTCACAGCTATATATGTATTTCTGGATTTCATTCTTCAGTTTTGGGTAGAAATAACTTTTCCTTAATTCCTCATAAACTTTATTTATTCCTCTGTGACTATTTTTAAAATGAGTTTTTTCTATTAACTGTAGAAGCTTTTCCCTATCGATTAAATCCTCTATAAATAAGTTTGCTTTTAATACTCTTGAACTTATATTTTTTGCAAAATATTTAATATATAAGGATTGGAATTCTATATATAATTTAATATTTGAACAGAAAACTACTGCGATCCCTTTTTCAGGTAGTTTCTATCTCATAAAATTCAGAAGGGTATCATTATTTGTTACCTTTAAAATGTGTCGAATTTTGTTTTTGAAAACTATTTTTGTTTTACAAGAATTGGCATTTGAACTTTCGATAAATATTTGATTTTTAAATAAATTAATAGGCTGCTCTGTTATTTTAATGTAGTCAGTCTCATCGCTATCTGCGCTATGAACTGTGTTAACGTCTTCATCAAATAATTCATGAAAATTTATTTCTACTTCGTTATTTGATTCTTCGTAGGTTAGCTTACTTAGACCATCGGCAATTACCTTTTCTTTTCCCTTTATGTAGCTAATGTCGAAATCGAACTCGTTTAACTTTATTTTCCATCGCTGGATTTTAGCATTTGGTTCTTTTATGTTATTAAGCCAAACTAAGGGACGGTGGTCTGTGTAGATAATAAACATGCGCCCGGAAATATACGGGCGGAAGTATTTCGTCGCCCACACGATTGCCAGTATTTCCTTCTCAATTGTACTTTAGTTTTTTTCATGGCCGTTTAGCGTACGGCTGGCAAAAGAAACTACTTTATTACTCTGCATTAGGGCTGCACCTAATGCCAAATTGCTCGCATCGGTAACAAGCGTAAATGTTTTGTTATACCCGAGCGCACTTGTGCACAAGGGTATATTAATTTTGTTCACATAACGGTTGTTTGTAACAGCCAAAACGAATCGAGATAGATATAGACAAATGTATACATAAATGATCAAAATGAAAAGAGAAATCGATTAAGCCATGTCTGTCTATCCGTCTGTCCGTCCGTCCGTCCGTGTACACGATAACTCGAGCGAAAATTGAGATATCTCAACGAAATTTTGTATGTAGGTTTCCATTTATCCAAGGTAGGTTGGTATTGAAAATGGGCGAAATCGGACTGTAATCACGCCCACTTCCCATATAACGGTAATTTTCAGAAATACGAAAACTGCGATATTTTAGTAACTACTGCAGATTATTCACTCAAAATTGATATTTACAATAAGTTTTAGACGAAAAATAAGAATATTATAAATTTTCGAAAAAGTGGGCGTGTATATCTTGGTAACCGCTGCACTAATTTCTTCCAAGCTGGGCACAGCTATTGGCCTTCGCACAACACACCAAACGGCCGAAAATTTTTAAAATCGGACAATAACCACGCCCACATCCCATATAACGGTAATTTAGAGAAATACAAAATCTTCGATAAATCAGTAAATATTGAAGCTAATTTATTCAAAATTGATGCTTGCAACAATTCTTTACCAAGAAATACGTTTATGGTAAAATTTTGGAAAATGGGCGTGGCACCGCCCACTTATGATCATATATATATATCTCGGTAACCGATCTACCAATTTGTACCAAAATCGGTGTGGTTATTGTGCTTGCCACATAAAAGCAAAACGTTGAAAATTATTGAAAGCGGACTAAAATTGAGGACTCTAATTTACTCAAAATTGATACGCCCCGGCTTACCATGTAGCAGTAGCTTTCGGTAAGGTGAAAAACATATATTTAATACGTGCGCCGGGTTTTTAAATGTTCGGCTCCGCCCAAAACTTAGACTTTCTTACTTGTTAAAATTAGGATGGGTAAGTAAAGGATCATTATACCCGAGCGCACTTGTGCACAAGGGTGTATTAATTTTGTTCACATAACGGTTGTTTGTAACAGCCAAAACGAATCGAGATAGATATAGACAAATGTATACATATATGCTCAGAATGAATAGAGAAATCGATTAAGCCATGTCTGTCTGTCCGTCTGTCCGTCCGTCCGTGTACACGATACTCGAGCAAAAATTGAGATATCTCAACGAAATTTGGTATGTAGGTTTCCGTTAATCCAAGGTAGGTTGGTATTGAAAATGGGCGAAATGGACTGTAACCACGCCCACTTCCCATATAACGGTAATTTTCGGAAATACGAAAACTGCGATATTTTAGTAACTACTAAAGATAATTCACTCAAAATTGATATTTACAACAACTTTTAGACGAAAAATAAGAATGTTATAAATTTCATCCAAACTTATCACAGTTGTTGGCCTTGGTACAGAATACCAAATAGCCGAAAATTTTTAAAATCGGACAATAACCACGCCCACAGTCCACAGGGTAATTTAGAGAAATACGAAACCTTCGATAAATCAGTAAATATTAAAGCTAATTTATTCAAAATTGACGCTTGCAACAATTTTTACCAAGAAATACGTTTATGGTAAAATTTTGGAAAATGGGCGTGGCACCGCCCACTTATGATTACATATATGTATCTCGGTAACCGTTCTACCAATTTGTACCAAACTCGGTATTTTTATTGTGCTTGCCACATAAAAGCAAAACGTTAAAATTATTGAAATCGGACTAAAATTACGGCCGCTTTTCATATAACGGTAAATTTCAGAAATGCTTGAAACTGCAATATTTCAAAATTTAAGGACGCTAATTTTTCTCAAAACAGATACACCCCGGCTTACCATCTAGCGGTAGGTTTCGGAAAGCTGAAAAAACATATATTTAATACTTGCGCCGGGTATTTAATGTTCGGCTCCACCCGAACTTAGACTTTCTTACTTGTTTTTCAGTAAGATTTTAAATTTTTCAAAGTCGGCTTTATAGTCTCCATCGTTGATATTAATTTTTGCCCCTTTTTTAAATATTTGATAAGATGATGAGTTACCTTCGAATAATCTTTAATAAAGCGCCTATAGTAACCAGTTATTGCCAAAAATGATTTTGTTTCTTTTTGTGTTTTAGGTAGGACTATTTTGTCGATTGCTTTTAGTTTCTCGGGGTTTGGTTTAATGCCCTCAGGAGTGACAACATGGCCTAAAAATTCAGTTTCCTTCGCTAAAAATGTGCATTTGTCAACCTGCAGTTTCAAATTTGCCTCGCTCAAACGTTTAAGTACCTTGTCGATCGCTTCTAAGTGTTCTTCTATGCTTATAAAAACTAGAACGTCGTCCAAGTAAACTAAACAGATTGAACCAACATTTTATTTTAATACATTGTTAATCAGCCGTTGGAAAGTAGCTGGCGCATTACGAAGGCCAAATGGCATACGTAAAAATTCATAATGGCCAGTGGCGGTTGAAAACGCGGTTTTCGGAATGTCATCGGGATGGAGTTCAATTTGATGAAATCCCTTAGCCAAATCCAGAGTGGAGAAATATTGACATTCACCTAGTTTGTCGAAAATATCATATATGTTTGGCATGGGAAATCTGTCCTCAACAGTAACATCATTCAATTTCCGGTAGTCAATTACTATGCGCCACTTTTGTTTATTGGACGAATCTAGTTTTTTTGGAACTATCCATATCGGACTATTGTATGGACTATTAGAATGTTTGATTATATTTTGTTTAAGCATATCTTCAATCTGACTATTAACTTCTTTTTTATGCACCTCCGGATATCTATATAATTTTGAGTATATTGGCATAGGTTAGGTTAGAATGGTGGCGGAAAACTATTACGCCCAAGTAGCAGCTAAATGCCATTTTGATACCATATACCTCGAATGAGTATGTTAGATCCAGCCGGCGTGGTTGATGAAGTTGAGTATGTTGCGGAGACTTACATAAGATAGCTCTCGTAACGATGTGAACTCATATTCTCCTAGCATGGTATTTATGCTCCTCATTAGAGCTGGACATTTGCAAAGCAGGTGTTCTACTGTTTCCTGCCCGTTCTCATCTCTGCAGCTTCTACAGAAGTCGTTGTAGGCGATTCCCAGCCTTCTCGCGTGGGTACCAATCGGCCAATGCCCAGTAAGAGTCGCAACAAGCCTAGCAACGTCAGATCTGGGTTTCCTTAGTAGGTTGTGTGTTCTCTCAGGGCTGTACGCAGGCCACAATAGTTTGGATAAACGGCAGCCTGCCACGGTGCGCCATCTTTGATCCGATTTCTGGAGATTGTGGAGAAATATGTCTTTATATTAGGTTCCAATTGGGGGTGATATCCGGTCCTCGATCGACACCAATGTGGAACCCTCTCTGACTAACTCGTCTGCAGCCTCATTTCCGGGAATGTTGCTATGGCCAGGGACCCAAACTAAATCTAAATCGAGTTGACGACTTACTGTATTTAACAGTGTCCTGCACTCCTTGATTAGTTTCGACCTTGTTGTAAAAGACGCAAAGGCCTTAATGGCCGCCTGGCTATCTGAGAAAATGGCTACTCGCTCGCCGTAACGCAATCCACTACGTTCTAAGAGACGGCAGCCTTCGGCTATAGCGAATACTTCTGCTTGGAAGACACTCGCGAAATCGGGCAGATGAATTGATCTTTTTACTCTCAGTGACTCAGAGTAAATACCTGCTCCAACTCCGCGTTCCATTTTGGAGCCATCGGTGTACATATGATGTGTCCAGGTAGAGATATCAAGCTCCCCGTCCCAGTCGGCTCTCGACGGAAGAATGGCCCCGAAAGGCCTGCGAAACTCTACCTCAGGTCGAATGTAATCGGTTGCCAGCCTCAACTTAGGTGGAAAACGGGAAATTATACTGCTATGCCCGATCGTTCTTTCTTTCCATATACGTAGTTCTCTAAGTCTTATAGCCGATAGTGATGCGGTGTGCCGTATGTGAAGGTCTATAGGAAATAGGTTTGTAATATTGGCATATAATGCTTTGTAACTATTTGTTAGTAAATGTTAGGTTATCATTTTTCTCGTAAAATACATGTTTATATTTTATAATAACTTTAAGTAATTTTTATTTTTCATACTCTTCAAGATGATTTGTTCGAATGTGGGGACATAACATTAGATTTTTCAACTTCGCAATTAAAAAATAACTATCTTTATAGATTTCGTCCTTATAAGTCTCTTATTCCTTAAACAAAAATAATGTCGTTAAAGCACTACTAGTAATAAGTTGCCTATTAGGAAAATCGATGATGCAATTTAAATCTTTCAAGATGTTATTTCCTATAAGTCCATCAAAATTTTCGTTGAATGCGTATTCTAAAAATTCACAATGGTAATTATATAAATTTAATTCTATAAATATTGGAAATTTACAAAGCTTTGTTATTGATATTATTTTATTTAATGCCTTTGCTATTGCATTTACATTTTGCTTCGATGTGGGGTGACAAATATTAGGGTAAGTTATACTAAATTCAGCCCCGGTATCAATTATAAATTTTAGCTTTTTAATAGGATATTATCAATAATAATTATGTAAAGAAGTCCTGCTCGTGTCCCACAGGAAAATTTACATTAGAATTTCCTATTTCCATTGATTCATCTCGTTGTTGGGTACTATCGAAATTTTGTGGATTCGTTTGTCTAGGTTGACTAGAATTGGTACAGAGATTAGATTGAGGAGTACTTCTATTTGTATTTTGTGAGTAAGTTGATCGCCTTGTCTGATTTGAAAAACTTGAATTTCTTAGGTTACTATTGGCTCTATTAGAACTTGTATTAGAAACATGTTGGTTTTCATAGGGCGAATGTTGATGACTTTCAAAATCGTTGTTTGGCCTGTTGCCACTGTTACTAAATGTTTTTTCTTGAAAGACGCTATTCGAATTATTGCAATTATTACCAAAATTAGTTCTTGTATTTGTGTATTGGTTCACGTAATCTGTTTTAGAGGGTCCATAGTGTGTATAGTCTTGATGTTTAGCTTCCAATATTATTTTAAAAGCGTCTTCTAAGGTCTTAGGATCCCTAATATCATAGTCCGCGTTGGTTCGGGAAGATGGTCCCTGAAAGCTTTAAGCGAAATTCTGTTTACTTCTTCCGTAGTATAAGTATTTTCTCCATGGGTTAAATTTCTGTTGTGAATTTTATTAGCAAGTTTGTTTATTTTAAAATAATAATTTCCTATAGTCCCCTGCAATTTACATGTGTTTAAATCATCCATTAACTCGTTACTAGTGTACTTTTCGCCAAAGTTTTTCGTCAGTATGTCTTTTAAAACAGCCCATGTTGTTTCATTAGTGTATCTGTGAATTGCTTCCCTAGTTTTGACAACACATTTGTTTCTTATACTAAGTTCAGACCAAAAGTTGATCTCCTCAAACCAAAATAAATCTTTTTATTAATCCTCGCCGTTCACACTGCTGTTGGAGATTCATGCAACAGCTGTTTCTGACATATTGCATATTGTCTATTTAAATTTTTTTAAATCCCGTAAACGGTTAAATATGCGTTTTATAGTAATAAAAGTTATCTTCTTTTTCTTAAATATTCTCCATTCAATGGAAATGATGGAGGAATTATTTGATTTTAGGCGCCAGGCAATGAGACGTTTGTTTCTTGCTCAAACAATGCACAAATTAGTTAGTGCATGTGCATCAAATGCAACAAGGTCAGTTTGGACAAAGGCAAGTATAACATTTGTATAATAATTGCCTTGGTTTAATTAAAATAAGTACATAATATAGATTCGTGGCCACAAGTTCTGGGAAGTCGATTGCCAGATGAATTCCGATGCATTTTTTAAAAGTAATTTTCGGATGAAGCGTAAGTCTTTTAAGAAATTGTGCGATATGTTAAAAGGTCTGGAGAGGAAAAACACCAACTATCGCAAGGCAATTACTTTAGAAAAACGAGTTGCAATTGCTTTGTATGCCCTTGGCTCTTCGGCAGAATACCGCACAATTGCAAATATGTTTGGAATCGGTAAAAGCACTGTCTGCACCATTTTGATTGAGTTCTGCCATGAATTGTGGAGATGTTTGTGGCCGTTATATTTGAATAAATTCCCAATGAACGAAATTCAATTAAGGGAGTATTTAAATGGTTTTGAATCACTGGGTTTCCCTCAAGTGTTAGGAGCTATTGGTAAGAAATTGTATTTTTTAGAATGGATTTGCTTTGACATGAAGGTTTCAGATGGGTGCCACATAGAAGTTCATCCACCAGCAGAAGATGCAGTTGATTACCACAACTATAAAGGCTGGTACTCTATGGTCCTTTTGGCTTTGGTGGATGCAAGGCAAGTTTTTACATAAAGCTATTTTTGAACTTTTTAACATACATATAATTTTCTTTTATTATTTTATAGGTGTCGTTTCATTTACATCAATGTTGGTAGTCCAGGCCGTTGTAATGATTCAGCAATCTTTGAAAGTTCGTCATTAAAACGGCAGTTCCAACAATGCAGCTTGTTCAAAGAAATGACTAGGCAAATATCATCTGTTAATGTTCCAGTTATTTTGCTAGGCGACTCTGCCTTCAAACTAGATGTACATTTGATGAAGCCGTATCCTTTTTGCGTTAACCAACCGTTGAATAAAAAAAAATTTAACTTTGCCCTGTCTAAGTGCCGAAGAGTTGTCGAAAATGCTTTCGGCCATTTAAAGGCAAGGTTTAGGCGGGTTGGCAAAGGCCTGGACAACCACATGATCAACGCGAAAGCTATTATCAAAGCAT